TGTTGCTCTGCAGGACAACATCCACATTTTTCTTTTGGAATCTGCTTCAGCAGCAGCCTTCACAACAAAACCAGAGCCATTCCGAACTGGCACATTGGAAATGCTGAATTCCCAAGGTCTGGGCGAACAAAGAGCCTTTTGTGTTTCACCAGAGTCAGCTTTAAGAAAAGTCCTGCCAGTCCCAGCCACCCCCAGGCCCAGAGATTCCAATCTGCTGCACAATTTGGAAATTCCCAAGTAAGAAACTGCAGAGACATCAATTCTCCAGCCACTTCCCACATCTTCTGGCCCTTCCAGGAAAGAGGCTGGCTTAAGAGAAGGAAAGAGGCTGGTTTGGAAGGAAAGAGGCTGGTTTGGAAGGAAAGAGGCTGGCTTTCCAGGAGCAGGACAGGTTCTTTTCATGCCCCTAAGCCATACAGAGGCAGAGCCCAGCTGCATGAGAAAAAGAGCATAATAAAAGACAAAAAAATTATGCTGGGCTTTAACTGGCATCTTCCTTGCCCCTGCAAGGCTGAGCATTCCAGCCAATTCCAAAGTCAAGGTAGTTAATGGAACAAAGGGAAAAGCCCTGTTAAATGAAGCCATAGCTGGGATTGCAGAAGATCCAGTGGAGCTGAGGGCAGCAGCTCTGGCAGAGCCCAGGTCACCTAGGAATGAGACAACTCGATCCATCCTGGGCAGATGGAGGAACAGGGAGTTCACTGCTTGGCTCTGAGCTCAGGATTTGGATCCAGACCATGGGTAATGGCAGGAGGGACGTTATGGATGACACAGCTCACACTGCAAGGGGATGCTGAGGGAGCAAGTGCCAGAGAGGCTGGATAACCCTGCCTGGCAGCAGAGAGGGAAGGCAGGAACACTGAATTTCCAGCGTGGTTTGTCCCCCTGGCTTTCCTCCCTGCAGCCACAGAGGGGACAAAAGTAAGTTCTGCAAAAGGTCCCCTCCTGGTTCCCCTCCCACAAGGGGAAGGTCAGGCAGCAGATGCTGCAGTCCCAGGCTGTTCCCGTGGAGCAGCAGTGACTGCAGGGAGCCCCGGGTGTCACTGAGCCAGGGCCAGCTCTGCTGCCTCTTACGTGCCATCTGCACCCACTGCAATGTCAGAGCCCCTGGAAGGGCTCCACGGATCCCGGCGGGACGGGGCTGCGTGTGGAGGCAGAGCTGATCCCTGCAGGGCTGTGCCGAGCTGACAGGCTGGGTCCTGACTCCAGCACACGGGTTAACTGCACACACAAATGTTTCTGGGATAAAGCATGCCAGGGGCAGCTCCCTCTTTCCCAGGTCCCAGGCCTGCTCCTTTGGGAAGACCCCTTGCTATCCCACCACAGGGCTGTCAGGGCACTCTGGTGTTTGAGTCCCAGCTGAGCTGCTCGGCTCTCCCTGCTTCTGCAGGCTCCACAGAACCATCCTCACTGGACAGGGATATTCTGGAGCCAGTAGCAGTTCCATCTCCTCTAACTCTGGGATCTGCCCCCACCCAAGTGAAAGGTAACACCAGTTTGGAGCACAAATTTTGCATTAGGAGGATAAAAATGACTACGGCAAATGGCACTATTTTAACAGCCACTCTGGGATCCCGGGGAGTGTGGGACCTCCCCCTGGGATCCCGGGGAGTGTGGGACCTCCCCCTGGGATCCCGGGGAGTGTGGGACCTCCCCCTGGGATCCCGGGGAGTGTGGGATCTCCCCCCTGGGATCCCGGGGAGTGTGGGATCTCCCCCTGGGGTCCCGGGGAGTGTGGGATCTCCCCAGGGCTGAGCTGGAGCACGAGCTGGCCACACGGTCCTTCCCAGATCATGTATAATCCCATGGACAAACGCTCCCTGTCCCCACGCCAGAGTCACGCGTTTGGATGAACAGCAGGATTGTTTCTCCCTGAGATGAGGCCCATGAGGCCTCTCTTCCCCTTGGGATACAGCAGTAACCCAACACATCAGCAAAGCTCCAGGCATGGAATGAGCCCACGGATGTGGAGTCGGAGATCACCTCAACACCAACCACATCATAGGACCTCCTGCCACAGCGAGAGGAAGGAGAAGGAGGCAAAGGCAGCTCCAAGAGAGGCCTGCAAAAAAGAGTCACAGTGCCTTCCATTGCAGCCATGGGACCAGCTTCCACCTACAGCACGTTTGGGATGGCTCTGGCTCACCCTCTGTCCCAGGGGCTGCCCTGCAATCAGCACAGGGCACACACAGGAGCAGCCGGAGTGTCCCCACGGCTGCCTCGTCTCACACTGACTCAACAACAGCCCCTGGAGCTCAGCCAGGCCTTCTGCAGGAAGTCAGAGCTGTCACAGGGTGAGGGATTTTTTGCTCTGGCAAAGTGTTGCTTTGCTGGGTTTTTCTGGCCTTCGCTGCCTCTGTCCTCCCTCCTGCTTCAGGTACCCAGAGCAACAATCCCCCCAAATCCACCAGGAGCAGAGCAGCACTTCCAGCACAGCTCCAGCTCCAGAGGGGAGCAGGCAGCAGAGCACACCAGGCCTCAGGGATAACTCTGCCTCCCAGGGGCACCTGGAAAAAGCAGGATAAAGGCACAGCCTAAGGTGCACTCTTCACTGACAGCATTAGCTGGATATTACGTATTCCTAAAGATAAGCTGCTAAACCTCCAGCAAAGCTGGTTCTGGAGCCACTTACAGGAGCATTTGTGGCTCAAGAATCACAGAATACCTCCCTGCCTCACAAGAAATTAAAACTCAGAAGTTGAAGGTAATTCAGACCCGAACACTGTGGGAAGGACTGGGAAGGTTTTGCAGCCTCTCTGCTCTGACCCCAGACACTTCCACTGCTCACAAGGGACATTTTCCTTCTGTGCACTGTGGCCATGGAGATCCCCAGTCCTTCCAGAGGAGAAGGAGTGACCAAGAATGGCACAGACCAGGCCAGTCTGACCGCCAAAATGGGACTAAATCACCCCATTCTAGTGCAGTTGTACTTCCCATCCCATCAGTGGAAGGGTCACGTTAGATGTGGACAAGGAAGCAGCTGGCAAAGAGCTCCAGAGGCTGCTGGAGTCAGGAAGAACTTTGCTCAGGATGCTGAGTACACTCCAAGCTCCCCAAGCCTCGGCCAAGCCCATTCCCATGTCTGATAATGGCACAGTTCACTGCACAACCCACGTGTCCCCCAGAGCATCCCAGGAGCTCCAGGTGAGCCAGGCACAGGGAACCAGCTCCCTGCTCAGCACCTGGACTCAGCTCCTCCCTGTCAACCAACAGCTCCAGCTTTTGCCACCACACCAACAACTCCCAGAGCCCCTCTCCTCCCTTTCTGGGGATTTAAGAGTCGTGAGCTCACCCTCCTCCCCAGGTTCACCTCACATGCAGGTGACTAAGACAGAAAGTGAAGATGAAACATGGAATACGCAGTCCAGGGATCAGCAACAGGCAAACAGGGAGCTGGGTGCGAGCCCAAAGCTGGGAGAGGAAGCAGAGTGCAAGGACAGAGCCCTGGGGACTGCCATAAACAGGAGACTGCCAGCTCCCAGAAAAGATCCCTCCCTGCCCTGTGGCTTGGCAGAAGATTCCCAGACCAGAAAATGGGTTTTAAACCAAAAAAAAAGGATGGAAATCGAGACAGTATGGCCACTCTGTAGCTCCAAGCATCTGGAGAAGGGAATCCTGCCTTCCACTCGCAGCAGGGCCCCTGACAGAGACGTTTTTCCTAAAGATCTATACTGGACAACTTCAGATCCCCTTTCCTCTCCCTCTGGAGAACTTCCTGCCCTTTCCTCTTGCCTGTCCCTCTTCACACAGGTTTCTTTGGAGGAGCTGAGCTCTCTGTACTGCAGATCAGAGCAGAGGCAGCTCTGTAAGATCACCATTCCTGAGCCCACAGCAAGAGACAGAAGCAGAGCAAGTTTGCTTTCAAGTTCTCCTCATGAGCTCTCCCTCCTGACAGCTGAGCTGTGGCTCACCATGATCTGAAAAAAAGTGGAAAATTCTTCATTCCCTGAGCAGTTCAGAGCTTAAGGAGTTTAAACTTCAGGGCTAAGCCTCTGCCTACAACAGAAACAGGCATTAGCTGGGCTGCAGGAGGTCAAGGGGGAAGAGGTGGGATAAAATAGGAAGTTACAGACTGTAACTTCAGGGTTGTGCCAGCAAACCCTTCGCTCTCTGTGATGTTCGTTTTTTCCTCATTATGAATTTTTGGGTTGCTCATGAATCCTGCAGCAGGTGAACCCCCCACCCGACCCCAGCCAGGGCTCTGCTCGGGGATGTCCCTGCGGCGTCACATCCAAGGGGTTTCTCCTCCAGGACAGGCAGATCCACACCCTAATCCATACCGTGATCCACCCACGCCCTGATCCATCCATGCCCTGCCCGGGGGGCTCCGAGGGGGCTCTGGCCCCTCGCTCGCCATCGCCTCCCGCCCAGGGAAACACAAATAATTAACACAAATAATTAAAGACCAGCGCGTGGATGCGGCGGCCGCGGCTCAACAGGTCGCTCGTCCCGTCCCGCCGAGGCGGGCCCGGCCCGGCCGGGGGGACTCGTGGGCTGGGCTGGGCCGGGGGCATCGGGACCCCCGCGCTGGGCTGGGGGAGGCGGGGACCGCCCCGAGCCCCTCCAGGGCCCCTTCCCACAGAGGCCCCTCCAGCAGGGCCCCGGTGTTCCCTCACAGACCCCTCCAGACCCCCCCTACTCCCCTCAGGTCTCCCAGTGCTCCCTCACAGACCCCTCAGACTCCATAGCCCCGTTCTACTCCCTCAGAGACTCTCCCGCTCCCCTCAGATCTTCTTTGCTCCCTCACAGACCCCTCAGACCCTCCAGCCCCGCTGTGCTCCCTCAGAGACCCCACAGAGCCCCCGCTCCCCTCAGACCCCCTGTGCTCCCTCCCAGACCCCTCAGAACTCCCAAACCCCCTTCTGCTCCCCCCAGACGCCTCAAACCTCCCCGGTCCCCCTGTGCTCCTTCACAGAGCCCTCCCAGAGCACTCAGCCCCCCCCGCACTCCCTCACAGCCCCTCCAGGTCCCCCCAGCCCCCCGCCCCGCTGTCCCCGCACCTCTCCTGCCGCGGTCCGGCTCTGGCGGACGCACACGGGCTGTGCCGCAGCACCGCCCGCTCGGGCGCAGCGCTCCCGCCGCCCTCGCGCCTCGCGCTCCGCCCGCGGCCGGAGCTACTTCCTCTTAAAGGGGCCGCCCCGGCGGGGGGGGCGCGGGGGGCGGGGCAGAGCCGGGCGGAGCTGGCCGGGCAGCCAAGGCCTGGTTTATTGTATTTTAAAACAATGACTCCAGTTTATTTTACTCTGCCTTCTTTTATTCTATTCCAATATTTTATTTATTCCAATATTTTATTTTTATTTATTTAATAGTCCAATATTTTATATTTTATTTGCTACCCCATATTTTATTTTCTATCCCAATATTTTATTTCATTTCAATTTATTTTATTGTATTTGATCTTATTTATCTATTTTATTTTATTCTGTCTTACTTTATTTCCTATTTATTTCCTATTTCTTTTATTCTATTTTTTTTTCGTTTCTAGTTGGTTTTGTTTTCCATTATATTTTCTTTCCTTTATTTCTTTTTCTTGTTATTTTATTTTGTTTTATTTTATTTTATTTTATTCTGTTTATTTATTTTTTCTTTTATTCCATTCTATTTATTTCCTTTTCTCCTATTTTATCTACTTTATTTCCTTTTATTCTGTTTAAAATTTATTACTTATTTTTATTATTTTTCCCTCTTATTCAAATATGTTTACTTTATTTTATTCTATTTTATTTATTAATTTCTTTTTATTTTTCCTTTTATTTCATTATCTTTATTTCCTTTTCTTCTATTTTATTTACCTTATTCTATTTTATTTCTCTTTCTTCTATTAATATATGTATTATTTTCTTATTTTTATTTTTTCTTTTATTCAATTCTACTTATTTTATTCTATTTTATTTATTTTTTTCTTTTATTTATTTTTTCTTCTTTTTTTATTTTTCCTTTTATTCCATTCTACTTATTTCCCTTTCCTCTATTTCATTTCCCTTATTCTATTTTATTTTCTTCTATTAATACATGTAATATTTTCTTCTTTTTATTATTTTTTAATTTTATTCCATTCTGCTTATTTCTATCCTTTTGTTCTGTTTTATTTATTGTCGTTTATTCCCCTTTATTCATTATTTGTGGTTTTTTGGGAGCAGGGACAGCCCGGGGATTCTCAGGGCCCCCCCGGTGTCCCACTGAGCCCCTCCCTGGGATTAAACGATCCATGGAAATCGGTGGAGCTGGGACAGAGCCCAGGGTGGGGGGTTGGAAGGACAAGACGAGCCCTGGAAAAGGCCCAAACACTCCGAAGTCCAAAGGAAAAATTAAAAGAAGGTTGGGAAGGCCCCAGCCCCGGACTTTGGGGTCATAAAAAAGAGAAGCAGCAGAACCAGGGGTGGTTCAAAGGGAATTTCTCACCCACGTCAGGACCAGGGGGTCAAACTCCAGTGGGAAATCCCTGGGAAGCCCCAAAACAAGAGGTGACAAAAGCAGAGCTGTTCCCCACACCCAGCAGAGCTCCCTCCCCTCCCCCCTGATCCTGCATCCCAAGGGTTTTTCCAAGGCCTTTGGCACCACCACTGCACTCTGGAGATCTCAGGTGCCCTGTGACCTCCCCAGAGCCCAGTTCACCCCCCGGGAGCTCACAGCCCACCCAGACCCCCAAACCTCCAGTTCACCCCCCGGGAGCTCACAGCCCATCCAGACCCCCAAACTCCAGTTCACCCCCCGGGAGCTCACAGCCCATCCAGACCCCCAAACTCCAGTTCACCCCCCGGGAGCTCACAGCCCATCCAGACCCCCAAACTCCAGTTCACCCCCCGGGTGTTCCCAGTTCACCCCTCCCAGCCCACCCCCAGCCCCAGGGGTGAAGCTCCAGCTCTCCCCCTGTTCCCAGCTGGCACAGCCTCATCCAACAGCTTGGATGCTCCTGGAGAGCAGCTGATCCCCCTCCTGCTCCAGCCCCGGGGCCTCCCTGCCTGGATTCCTCCCTGGCACAGATGATGCCATGCCCGAGGGCAGAGCCTGTGTGCCAGGGGCACTGCCAGCTCCGGCCTGGTCCAGGGCACAGGACCATGGAATTGAAGGTGGAAGGGAGCATTGGAGCTCACCTGGCCCAGCCTCCCTCCCTGAGCACTCAGGATTGTGTCCAGGTGGCTCTGGAATAGCTCCACTGAGGGAGACTCCACCACTTCCCTGGGCAGCTGTGCCAGTGCTCGGGCACCTGCAGAGCAAAGTTCTTCCCATGTCCAGGTGGAATTTCCTGTGCTGCAGTTCCTGCCCGTTCCTCTTGTCCTATTGCTCAACATCCCAGAGCAGAGCCTGGTCCCTGCTCTGCCCCCTCCCTGCAGCCCCCTAGCCATGGATCTGTCCCAGGACACTGGAGCAGAGGACCTGGATCCCTCCTCTGCCAGGAACAGCCAGCAAGTCCCTGGGCTCTGCTGGGGCAGAGCTGGTGGCTCCTGACTCAGCCCCAGGGAATTTCTGTCCCAGGATGGTTCTCCCAGGTTCTGGTTGGACTGGAAACCTCTGGAGCACCAGCAAAGCCTCATTCCTGCTGTGGCAGGACAGGGCCCTGACCCTCATCTCAATGTCACCAATGTCACTGGGGCCAAGGGGAAGAGACAGAAGGAGCCCATTTCTGGCCTCATTAAGAGCAGAGCTCCCATTTTCCCAAATATTGGATTTTAGCTGCTGCCACGATCCAAAAACCAGAACAATTAGTGCAGCTTTAACTGAGATTGCCTGAATCACTTTTTCCTGTAATTTCACATTAGTGACAGGGCCTTCCAAAGGGCTGGTGGTAGGGATTCCTCATCTCCTTTTGGAAGGCAAGGAGCTTTAGGAAGCTCCCTAACCCTAAACCTGACCCTGCACCCAAGGCAGGGAGAGGGGATGCTCACTCACCTCCATCCCCTCCTGCATTCAGGGCTGGGGCAAATCCACATCCTGGTTTTGGGTCCATCCAAACTGGAAGGGTCTTATAAAAGGACCACTTACAAAGCCAAAAAATTCAACTTTGTTTTGAAAGTTTATTGGATCATCTTGACACAAAATCATTACAGCAGCTTGTGGTATGTTGTTTCCTTTATCTTTTTTTTTTTTTCTTTTTTACGGGAATGTTGATAGCAAATAAATTTGTGAATGTAACACATCATACAGTTTCAAAATTCTAGAATCACTGCACAGGATTCTGTAAGAGACTCTACATGCTAAAGTGACAGTTTTCATCCATGGATTTAAAAAAAAAAAAACGAAAACAAAAGAACCACTAATTGAGGAACATTATCCTTTAAGACAATTTTAATATGTTCAGTTTCTAATACACAACTGGCTAACCAAGGGAGGCTGACCAAAACCAAACCCTCCATGGCCCAGCAGCACGGTCAGACCCAGAGCTGGGCCTGGCCACGAACCCCGAGCACCAGAGCAGAGCCTCGGCCAAAATCCCTCCTGGGGAAAGAGTGTGAAGAGCACAAGACATGTGTAAAGCACAGGACATCACCCAAGGGATAAGATCAACACCTCATCCTGCTCCCTGCGTGGGGTTTTGGGTTTTTAGGAGTGGTGGTGGTGCTGGAGATGTGCAGACCCACCCAGCTCTGCCCTGGGCACCTTCCTGGAGAGCAAACCCCTCCCGAGCTGTGCCTTGAACAAAACCATTCCAGGAGTTCTCCATTTGCTGGGTGTGGAACAGCGAGGGAAAAAACGGGGGGGGATAAAAAATAAATGGAAAGCAAGGGATGTTGGAGAAGGACATCAGCTGAGCATCCCTGCAGGACAGGGACATCCCCTTCCAGTGGTGACTCCACAAGATTTCAGTGGTGCAGAATGGGCTTTACTTCAGACCCTCCTTCTTCCCTCTAAGGCAACCTTCTGCAGGGCCAAATCTGCAGCTCCTCACCCCCACCCCATCCTGCACTGGGAGAGGAGATCCCAATCAACCCCCACCCCATCCTGCATCTGGAGAGGNGATCCCAATCAACCCCCACCCCATCCTGCATCTGGAGAGGGGATCCCAATCAACCCCCACCCCATCCTGCACTGGGAGAGGGGATCCCAATCAACCCCCACCCCATCCTGCACTGGGAGAGGAGATCCCAATCAACCCCCACCTCATCCTGCATCTGGAGAGGGGATCCCAATCAACCCCCTTCCCTGCTGCACCCAAGGCAGGGAGAGGGGATCCTCACTCACCTCCATCCCCTCCTGCACCCCAGCAGGGAGAGCAGCTCCTCATCCCCCCTCCTTCCTGCATCCTGTCTGGGAGGGGGGCTCCCAACCCATCCCTCTCTCCTGCCCCGGGGCAGGGAGGGCTCTGCCAAATCTGCTCCCACTGGTGGGAGGACAGGGCCGGGCGACACTGTGGGGACACTGGGGGGACACTGTGGGGACACTGGGACAGCTGGCTGCAGAGCCCAGAGGGAGGACAGGGCTGTACCTGCACGCTGAGCACGAGGGGTTTCTCTGACCTGGCCATGGTGAACCTCGGCCGGGGAGCAGAAGGATAAAAGCACAGGAACAGACCCCTTTGGAGTTCCAGTTTCTTGCTACAGCTTCACTGTTCAGGAATGTGAAATCGAAGTGGACTCATCAAACACACCAGCAGAGCCAGCTCAGAGGGGACAGGCCTGACAGACTCTGTGCGTGGGGCAGGCCCGGGAGCAGAGACCAAACAGCAACACTTCAGCCCATCTCATGCTCCCGCTCTCGACTCTTCCAGCTGTCACTAAAAGAAGGTTAAGGCTCAAGGCAACTACTATAGACAAACTCAAACATCCCAGTTCTCACAGGGCTCCTTTGGATTAGCTCAAGGAGATGGAGGATGTTTGTATGCTGATCACAATAGATCTTGAGATAATAATAATAATAAATCATATATATATATATATAAAAAAAAAAACAAAACAAAAAAGAGGCCTTCAGGTCCAGCACCAGCCTCTGCTAGAAATATACATCAACTACAGCAGCCCTGAATATTCCATGGCTAAGGATTCAGTCAACCTTCCCTGGCATGAGCACAAGCAACAGACTGTGCCACTGGTGATAAAGTCCTGCTCATCCCTCGTCCCACGCAGATGGAAGGTCATGGGATCATCA